AGGTTCTATAGACACTGAAGCCAAGGGACGCCTCTCCTTCACCTGCCAGGGCAATGCACCATCCTGACTAAAGATCTAGCTGTGGTCTTAGACTAAAAGAAAACTAATTCCTCTTTAAATTAACCCAAGATACTACCTCGTGGGCTCCTATACACATGCTGGGAGCCTGCTCTGACACTCTGGAAATCTAGCACTTCAGAGCAGACTTGATGAATCATGTCTTCTGGAGCATGGAAACTGAGCACTCCAGCAGCCTTGCACGTCACGTGTATCAGCGTCACCATAAGTCTGCAAACTGACAAAATGGCAGCGGTGCACTTTGAAATAAAACACATCCAAAGAGCTTTAGTTCAAAGTGCCTGCCACCATTTTTTCAGTGCAGGAACGTGTGGTGATGCAGATACACATGACACGCTGGCGCTTTTAATTAGCATGGCTCCCTGACTAAAAGTGCCCGGCGCCGCGTCCCAACACATATATAAATGCCCTGTCTTCCCTTCTAGGCTAGGGACAGAAGTTACGCGTAAACTGGTTTAAGTGATCAGAAACTGGTTTAAACCTGTAACAGAACAGAAGTTCAGTGCACATAAACCAGTTTCAAAATGGCTGAAACTGGCTTAAGATAAACCTGGTTGAATGTAGTATCAGACTTAACTGATTTGGGCCTATTTATGAAACTTCTGTCCCAGACCCCTTCCTGGCTCAAGTTAAATCACAGCTCCCCAGAATCCCAGCATGCTTTATAGCCTTGGGCAGGTTGTGCTACCTGCTCCAACAGAGAAGGGTTGGGGGCGGAGGGGGAAGAGAGGCAGGAACTGCCCACCCCCCCAGGCAAACCCCGGCTGGAGCCTGGGACCAGGGAGTGGGGTTAAACTTCCTTTCCCCCAAGTATGGAGCTGCCCTGCCTTGTTAAAAACTTACTAGTGGCTGCGACTGTGGACTGCAAATCCCACAAGCACCTGAAAGCAGGAAAAAGAAGTGATGAGCAACCCTGCAGAGACCTGCTGCTGTAATTCTGGACTGCAAATCCCAGAGACCTCAGGGGCAGCAGGAAGAGGAAACGAACACAGAGTCCATGCTGGCTACGTTCCAGACAGCTGTGCTCTAGTGCCCCTGGCTTCTTGCCTGAGGCACTGCAGGTATGTGGCTGCATTTCCTGTATCAAAAGCGAGCGTCTGTCTAATTGCTTCTCATCTTAGACTAAGCTGCAAAGACTGAATCGATTCAGCCTTGGGCATTTTGACTGTCTGTACTTAGCCCTAGTGTCAACCTCATAACTTGATCTGATTTCCTACTGCATTGATTTGGTGATTGAATAATTTAACCCTAGGGATTTAATTTTAATTATGCCCTCAGTTTGATCAGTGTATCATTCCATCCTTAATTAGCTTCATGAAATTGTAGAAAATTAGCTTAGTGCTATGTTTGCTTAATCCCCTTAATAAAAACCTGTGAAAAAATATGGAACGCTTGTTTTATTCTATCAAATTACAACATAGATTGCAAACTATGGGAGCTCTGATAATATAAACCAGTGTTCTGTACCTTTTGGTAAGGAATTTGCAAGCCCCTGACTCAGCTTCTAAAATAATTCAAAAGTGACTCTCACAAGAACATCCAGAGCTCACGCTGATGATAAGTTTTGTTGTGAGGGGGAGTAGACCTCCTGTTTCAGGTGTTAAGCCAATCTCTAACCACTGGCAGAGATAGAAAAAAGTGTGATGGCAAAACCTGCTTGTTAGTTCCATGGTTATCTGGAGGAATTGGGATTATTTGGAAGAAAATGAACCAAAAGGAAGTATAGCTGAACAAGTGTGAAGTAGTAAGGCAAGAAGTTACCTTTAAAATCTACTTTTTGAAGAGCCAAAAAGTGAATTTAATTCTAGTCACTGCAGCAGGTGCTAATTTGCACAAAACAAAAAAAATAAAATCAAATCTAGAATGAAGCTGGATTCTTTTAAAATATGCTCAGGTTTACTGGTTCCAAACCTATTCAAAAAGCAAATATAACCCCTTTGCAATATGGCACTTTTTTAATGGAGTGAGCCAGGAAGAAGTTCTATTTTCTTTTAGTGGTAAAAAAACTAAGAACCAAACAGGTAGTGATTTATGAAACTTGTGAGGAAATATATGCCAGCACAGCTGTTGAGGGTACTGACATACGATGAAACCACAACAGTTCTGGTAAGTATTTCTAAGAAGAGCAGCTAGAAAACAAAAGGTCAGTTAGCAAGATCCAGGAGATGAAAAGATACCAGCACATAAATAAAATTTCACATTCTGAGACTTAGGTACAGATGCAGAATTCCTTCCATAAGAATAGTTGTTTTGACAAGGAAAAATTAGGAAAATGTGCTCTCTAGAGCCATCCCACCACAGTTAACTGAATGTGGTATTAATTAAAACAAGACTGGCTGTTTTGATGATTACCAATCATTTCCTCGTTTTATGATGCTGGCTTCATTAAAGCCATACCACTAGGAAGCCTGATCTTACAAGGCACAGCTCACCTACAGCATTCAATTCTATTAATGGGTAATGAAGATAGTGGACACTCTAGAGGGACTGAATCAGAGAATTGCACCATTTTACTAATTTACTGCTTGATCTTCAAATGCTAGAAGATATTCTCCAAGGTATCAAGAGGTTTTTACTACATCTTTAAGGTGCAGCAGCAGTTGAGTGTCTCCATAAAATGTATGCATGAAAACTGGAGTGGGGGGGAGGAGGAGGAGGAAGAGGGAGTGGAGAGGAAATCAATTGATCAAAAGGATTCCTTCAATTGAAAAAAAGTGTCCACAATTCTTTTTCCCCCATCACTACTTGTGTCATTCTTCTTTCTTTCTACAAATATCGCTGTGCTTTTAGCCTAGGAACAAATGCATCCACCATTCAATTTAAGTGGGAACTGAATGCTAATAAGACCTAATGCTAATAAATATATAAATAAAGACCTAATGCTAATAAATAAATAAAGTTTACATTTACATCATTCATCATTTACAATTAGGTAAGGTTTAAGCCAGTGGGTTCTCAACCTTTTTAGATTCAGGACACCCCTCAGAAAATACCAGGTCTTAGTTTTCAGGGTTTTTTTACTACAGAAATAATATTAAAGCAATTCTTCCATTGCAAAAAGCTCAGAAAGACCACAGCAGGGCAGAATTCTTGTAATGCTATGGATCGCTACTTGGAATCTCCAGGTTTATATTGTAAATCATGTTTTCACATCCAATAGTGCTAGCACCCCAGGGCACCCTTGAAATGATCTTGCAACACCCTGGTTGAGAATCATTGGTCTAAGCCATGAAACTAGGAATTAGGACATCTGAAAATTATTTTCCCTGTACCTTTGAGTAAATCATTCACCTTCCCTATTTTAGAAGAAAGTTGTATACTTGTTTACACAAGCATATTATGATGATTAATTCATTATGAAGGTACTTAAGAAGTACAAATTATTCAGTTAAACATATATTTATGTTTAATTTTCAAACCGGAGTCCAATGTTAGACTACAAGGCGCTATGAAGCCTCATTGTAAAATACCTTCAAATGGAAACTTTCTTAGAACATCAGAGCTAGAAGACTTTCTGTAAACTATAAACTAAAAAAGATACCAGTTCTTAGGAAAAAAAAGTTACACTTGCCAAATAGAAAATTAAAGCAATCCACAGCATAAATTAGAAAAAGGATTTATAAATGCCTGTGTTGCAGACTTTTGGTATTTTATGGTGAGTAAGTGATATTTATTTTGGTATTTCTGGAGTTCTTTGATTATGTGAGAATATCAGCTTCCATAAAAAAAAGTGTCTTAGAATTCATGATTTAAGAAGAAATCTTGAAACAGGACCCTAAAGACAGAAAATCTAATAAAATGAGAAGGGCTTAAAATTTAATATATATTTTAAAAAATCACTTTGTATTTGGGGGTTGACTCATGGGGTTTTGTTTAATGTTTTGGCAATACCCTTAGCTCTTCACGCTACAAATTAATATAGGCTCACAGAGTACCAATACAATAGACCCTAATCCCAATTTGAGGCCCTAGGAACTATTGTCATAAAGTGTAAATTACTGCTAAACAGTGAAAGCATATGTGGTCACGCTATGAAAGCCTTTCCAGGCTCTTTCATGCCCCCACCCACCCCCCTCCCCTCCCCTCCGGTTTAAACAAATGTGTAACCATTTGAAAGAAATGTTAAAAAGGTGTTGTTAGAACATACCATGGCCAACATTTTTAAAACACTGGCGCCTGAATTTTAAGCACCTAATTAAATGGTAAGATTTTCAAAAAATGCTAATCACCTGCATATTGCATTTACAGTAATAAGAGCAGCCTGCAGGTGACTTTCAGGCTTGCAGAACCATGTAATGAGATTTCAAATTATGGATTTACCTGTTTGATTTTAGACCTTCCACGCTAACATTTTTTAATTAAGCATTATTTATGGCAAGAGCATAAGCAGAGTGTAAGCTAGTATTTTTAGGAAACACTGAAATGTAATCATTTTTAAGAAAGACAAAACACTCAGATTTTTCAAGAGTTCAGGCGTCATGGTCAGGACTAGGTTTCCAAGAGACATCAGCTCCCATTTTGGCACCAAAATAAAGGGGGATGTGTGTCACAATGGGAACTGCTGGTTGCTAAGTCTTCTCTTATTTAGGCACCTAAAGAGAAGTCACAGTCTTTTGAAAAATCTGCCACAATCCCTGAGGGGGTAGCCAGTCTTTGAAAACCTAGTCCTACATTATCAATATCAAATGGGCCTGATCTCCACTCAGATCTTTTATGGCACTTCCGGTCGAAATCAGCACCTTGAATTACACTTGGAAAATTACTAGAAGCCAGCGTAGACTTTGGAGTACTAGAGTAATGCATTCCTGGCAAACCATCCCTGCTAGAAGACAGGCTGCTGCATTTTGCACTAGCTGTAGCTTCTGGAAAATCATCTTTCCCCCTCTTTTCAGTCACAATTTAAAAACAAGAGACATACATACCTTGAGATCTGGAGAAAAGTTGTCTGTGGAGGTGGAGACTGAATCAGATGATATGACAGAGGCAGATTTTGTGTGTACTGACTGGTCCGAATGGGAGGTGGAAGCGCTGCAGAGAGACAAACATACACATCCAGTGTGTGAGAACTGCACTATTCACACTCGCACAGAAGTTCAAGTCATAAAATGAAAAACCTCCATTGCAAATCTTTCTATCGCAGATATAGGTGTGTATTATGGATAGATAAAACCCAGACATGATCACGAATGCAAAACCACTCCAAGTCCAACTACAAATTTACTCGAAAAGAGGGAAAGGGATTCAAAGAATGCAGAATAAAGGTTCTTCCATCAAGCATAACACTTCCCCTTTGGGGGTCAGTACAACATTCAAAAGGATTAAACATGCATTACAATAGTCTACTCCATTACATCATTATACATCTGTACTGACATATAGTGCTATTTGATTAATTGTAATGTAGCGGAATGATCCTGTTTTTCCATACTGCTCCTCCAGAATGGTTGCAAGTAACTAGCATCGGTACTATTTTACAGAATAGTAAAGCATACCTTTGCCCCTGACTCTAATTACTTGTAATGAACTTGTTGACAGTATTATTCTTAAAACATTATGCAATTGTAATGAAAAACCCAATTCTCAAGGTTTCTGAGCTTAAAGCAGAGAACTTCATGTGTGAGATGGAAACGTGGGCCACACTCAAGTCCAGAGTGGGGTTCCATATTGCAAGAGCCCACATGGATCAGCTTCCAGGGCCAGGGAACAAAGTCCAGCATGGGTTTCATCACCAACAGTGACAACATGACATGCTAGAAAAGTTTAAATCAAGTTTTTTCAAAATGCCTGTAGACTCATTAGTTATCTCAACATTTTCTTGCTATTTGACTGCTAGAGGTGCACCGATAGAGATTTTTGGGGCCAATACTGATAGGTGATATTTAAGGAGGCATATTGGCCGATACTGATACAGCTGCCTCCAGCTGGTAAGTCCAGTGTGGTGGAAGGGGAGTGGGAAGGGAAGGGGCCTTGGGGGGGCAGATCAATGCCCCCCACAGTGACGAAGGGGGCAGGGGCAGGCACTGCCCATTGAGGCAGGGAACGACTTCTGCCACCG